ATAGATTCGATGAGTTTAAAAAATACTTTTTGTCGATACAGTTAAAGGTAGACAGTACTCGGGAGGAAATGGCACAACTGGGCAGCTGACGGGTGGTAATAAGCTATGGCCTTGTGTGCAAAGCCTTGGACCAGCCCGGCTTTCTTTCCTTCCAATTGGAAGTGGGAGACATTCATATTAAGTTTCTTAAGTACTCGATTTGGTTTTACAATAATAAAATGTATTTCTTTAGTGGGATAGGGCTCTTACGGGTCCTTGGTTGCCTATTTCTGGATGGTTTGTTAACAGCTAAGGAAATATGTGCAGAAGGATGTAAATGGTTAGCGTGGCTGCTACGTGCTTGGGCCAGTAGTTGATAAGTGTGAGCATTTGCTGAGCGGGTAAGCTGTGTGCTTGTGGTTAATCGACTACGTTTCTTTTTCCTACGATCTGTTGAATTGTGATTTTTACTTTTTAGATGGAGTTGTAAGCAACTGGTACTTGTTCAGTGGTTCTCGTTTTGCTTTGTTTGTTCTTTAGCGGGAGCTTTCACCTCCCAACTTTATTTCAAGAGTGAATCCTGTTCAATGAATCTGCACATAATTAGTTACTCATTTTTATCTTTCTAATGAATGAAATATAAGAGAAATACCAATTACGTGTTTAACAAACTTCAAGCATGTAAATGAAGGCCCGTTTGAACATGAAAGGAGTTAAGTTTTCTTTAAGGCCTTTTTCTTACGTGGGTTATGAGATGGTGTCTTCAAAACGCCACCGCATCCGGTCACCATGGTGGACAAATGGGTAGTTAGGGTGGGTGAAGAGAACCTCACAAGCCCGGTGTTAGGCTTTTGCTGGTCACTTGATTGTGTTGGCATCGTGTGTACATAATTTGGGTGAAAGATTTCTTTCGACCTATTAATTTTTTATCACTATGCGGGATATGCCTTAAACATAAGCATTTCCCTTGGCATCCACTCTAAGCTGACTTCCAGTGGTATTTAAATGTGTGACTATAAAATACTTCTACTGGCATTTCCTTACTAGTTAGCAGCTGTTACAACAGCCTCCAAACATCTATTAAGTAAAGAGAGATTTGTTTGGTAACATATATTAATAGGAAAAGTGATCACAAGGCCAGGAGTAAAAGTTTTAGGGGGATTCAAGTACCTTGGTTCCTAAACTGGAAAATTGTATAAACAGACAGATTTTCAATAGCACATTAGCCTTCAGTTGAATTCCATAAAGTATATTGAGTGTAGCTTAACATGTTTAATTTCAGACATCACCAACAGTAATCAGATAGGGATTTCAGAAAACAATTTATTCCATTTCAATGGAATTTCCATTTTATTAGCTGTAATTTCAAATATGTAAATGGTAGCCAAAGCTGGATATGATGCTTCAGTTAAGAATTTTTTTTTTTTTTTGCCCATTGTTTCTTCTAGCATCTTCTTGCCAAATCTTCTGGAGCGCTTGTAATTTCCTCTGTACAGAGCCCAACAGGCTCATCAGCAGCAGAAGGTAAAAATAATAGATGTGAGGAATTTCTGGAGATTTATGAGGTTTAGCTTTTTTTTTTTGAAATGTACACTCTGTCTGGCTATGCTAAGACGCGGCCACATGTGGACTCTATGAATTGAAAATGTTATAAATGGGGCATCACTTACCCCTTGTTAAGAATGCGATTGAGGAACAAAAGATGTTTTCTGCGAGAGTATTTGAAGATTACTGACTTCTGAATGATGGCGATGCAGTGGAGATGAAAAGACACAATGAATACTTATACCTGAAATTTTTAATCTTGGAATTGGATATGGATTCATTTCCCCTTGGTTTAAATATATTAAATTTTTATCTTTCTGTAGCTTCTTAAACTTCTCTGCTTTCCGTGTATAATATTGGGGGGAAAACTGGATATATCTGTACAAAAGATCCCAGCAGTATCAGACAGCTTCTAATGAAGACTATTGACATCACTGACATTTGGCATGAAGCACTGCCAGAAAGGAAATTAAAAAGTACAAGCCATTATCCTAAAGACCATCTGTTTATGAAAATAGCTAATTTCACATCACTTTGTTGAGCATAAAAATGACTCCTGGTTAAAGGACAGAATATGCCCCTCTCACAAGCATGATAGTTTCATCGTTAGTGAAAATGACCCTTTAACTTTTTCAGGGACTTGCTCTATTGATATTAATTAATTAGCTTTCATGCTATAAACATCTCAAGCACTAGAGTGCAGCTACGCTTCTGTGCCAGGCATTTCTCTACATCTTTTCTCTTACCGATGTCTTGCTAGAAGAGGCTAGCACAGCATTAGTAGAAGAGCCTCTTGTCCCTGCCTTTGTTTACCAGTGGGGCTGACTGATGGAAGAGCTTATAATCGTGGGTGCAATTTGGTCTCGGCCTCACGAAATGGCATCATTCTCAAGGACTTGCACACATGATAGCCTAAATCTTGTGGAGATAATTGTTACTGAGAACATCACTTTAACCTGACTCACCTTCCACAGATGCTGGGAAGGGGAGAAAGGTAGTCTCCTGTCAAAGGCTTGATTTCATAAAATGTTGGTCGACTTTGGAGATGAACAAAGGGCACTTGAAGTGTTGTTGCATGAGGCATTTAAAATCCAAAGAACTTTGCTTGGGTTGTTTTGTGATTTTGTTTCCCTGGAAAGGTAGTGCCTCCAATCTGAGCTTAAGTACTCAAATTGAAACGCCAGCCATTTAAATATAAGCTTTAGAAG